TGCTTGGAGCTAGAGTTCAACCTGTCTTAAATATTTTTCAAAACAGTATGGTGTGGTGGAACATGCTCCTGGCTTCAAAATAACAAAATCAAAAGAAATCATGCTGTAAGCTGGCTGATTAACTTGTCTACCCTTTTGTATACCCGCCGTTCCTAACAATATCAGCAACACTGTCACAGTACTGTTTCTGAGGAATAGTGGAGCGACTTCTTGGCTGATTATGTCTTAAGAAATCATCAGGGCAATTTTTCCAGTTTTCTTCAGGGTTGCTAAGAATTAATCCCACCAAGTGAATTTTGGCTTACTGTAAAGCATCTAGCCCAACAGCTACCTTTGGCTCAGTGTCTCTGGCAGGCTGATGAAATCGGTCAATATAGTTGAAGCATCTCTTGTACTTATTGTTGAGCTGCTTATTGGAGGTTGAATCACAGAATGGTTGAGGTTGGAACGGACCTCTGGAGATCATCAGGTCTAAACACCCTGCTCAAGCAGAGCTACCTGGAGCAGGTTGCTAAGGACCATGTTCAGATGAAGATGGGAACGTAAGGTATGGATGGAGAGAAAGGAACCCTTTTCCTGTGTTGAAGGGTAGGTATTCTTAGCATACACCTATAACTATGCCTAAGCATGTAACTTCAAATGCTTTACTGTCATTTGAATAATTGGAAGTTCAAGCTTAAGTTGTAGTAATTAGTGGCATCTAGAAATGCAGTTCTCACCTGTTGCACAAAAGTTGTGGGTTATACCAGGTGTAGTATGTTAATATTGCTGTTGTATTGTCACTGTCACTATACAGTTTGAAAGCTTTTAACTCCAATTTCTGAAAATTACGTAAGTGTGGCTTGTGTGACCAAAAAACATAAGTTCCACTTGGTTTCAAAACTGTTCCCCATTCATAATCAGTAACTGGTTTTATCTGAAATGTTTCCATTTTGTTATCAAACTGGAGGACACTTCTATGAATTGGCCAGTGACTGAAGCAGAGAGAAATCTTACTCTTGTAGTAGTTCCTTGGGCCAGGAATATCATATAGTACATGGTGTCAGAGATCAGGCTGACAGGTACAGTTTTGCCAGGGCTATTCTCAGAACTTCCTCAATATGCTTTTAACTGCTAAAAGGATGAAGTGGCTAAATAACACTTAAAAAAACCCTTTAATTGCTTCACTTGAACATGTGACTATTGAAACAGTGACTTGCGTAATACTTCCTATATGTAGGTTTTGCTTATTGCTTTAGAATTGGCCGTTTAAAACAATTTGCACCCTTACCCATCAGTGTGTTCAAGCAGAAGGGTCATCTATTTACAAAAAAAAAGGATTCTTGGCTTTCTGGATCAGATTTCAACTTCATTAGACTAGTACTGTTCTGACTGGGCTGGAACAAAGTGAATACTATGTGTATCAGCATTTTGCTTCAGAAAGACTTTTTACCATCAAATGTCCTAAAACGTTTGGTGTGTTTCTTAACATATGCTTGTGGGTTTTGTAGCAGAGTTGTATTCAAGATGAGGTAATAGCAATGGTCATTATTAAAAAATTGGTATACTGGGAAGAAACTAGAAGGCTTTTATTCCTTAGTCTAGCTGCTGAGGTTAAACTGGCAGCTGTCAGTGCAGTCCATCTAGTCTAGGTGTGTTTAGGTTTTTTTACTGTACCAAAACAAAGTGTTGCTGTGTAAATACCACAATGTGTGCTTGTACCCTCTGTGGCTAGTATCTATTTTGGGCAAACAAGAAGGCTGTGCAAGGGGAGGTGTCTACCACTTACTGTTTCAATAGGTCTAATAACACAAGTATTTGCACACTGAGCAGTTTGGGCTGTGAGATCGGTGCAGAAAGGTAATCCTGCTTTGCTTGGACCATTCTGTTTAGAGCAGGACTTGTGCCAGTGGGACTAAGCAGGGCATAGTAGCAGCAGTCACGCTGGCCTCTGAGCAGTCAGGGGATCTGGTCATCTCTGACCTGGCCATGATTTACCACTCTCGGTGCAAAGGCTGCCACAGTTGCTATTTCTGCATAAGCAAACACTTTGGCATATCCAGGTTCTCAAATTGCCAGCTCAAATACTGTTTGAATGCTGTGTTGCAAATGGTGGTGGTGGTGGTGGCCAGTGAGGTGCCATCTGGATGCTGTGCTGTGTAATGCTTGAATATGTGTTTCTCAGTAAGGATCAGTGAAAATGCTATTATATTCTTCCTGGAGCACTTTCCCACCTGCACCACCAGCATGAAATGTAGGTTACTCAACCTGATGGTTTCAAAGCTGGAGGAAATACCACCTGTGTCCTAACAGGACTCTGGGACCAGCCAGTGCGGTGCGTAGTATGAGAGCTCAAGTGATGACAGCACATAAACATTTAACTCCAAATTAACAGGATGTTCCTGTCTTCAAAAGCTGTTCATCCTTTTGGAGCCTGTGACTGCCTTGTTGTAGATGAGTCAACAGTGAAGGAATACAAACAGTACTTAAACTGTCATCTGAGTGTGAAAATAGGTCAGATAAAAATGGCAAGTCACAGCTCACTGAGCAGGAGGTTAGTCACTGAACACCATCTTAATGTTGCCACTAGTGTCTTTTTGGATCCACAACACTCAAAGCAAAGTTACAAATGAGTGCTAGAGGAATCCTTCAGATTGTTATACACAGCCAGAAACCTTGTCTGTAATTCCAAAAGCTTAGGCCAATGATCCAAGAAACCCCTTTCAGTTAATCGAGAAACTAAGCATAATTTATATTCAGTGTTTTCTAATATTTCTTCATAGCAGCAGCTCAAGGAAAACAAACCAATAGTCTGGCTTCTTGGAGGTGGTTAAGCTCTAAGTAATTCTACCTCATGAGTTTGCAAGATGCCTGAAGAAAGAGTTTAGTCCAAAAACATTTTTTAAAATACCACATGTAAGTGATAGATATAAAGGACAGATGGAGGACCCTGAAATAAGTCTGAGGCCTCTCATTAGAGTGATCACAAATCAGACAGCTGATTAAGTTAGATTGTCTTGTTTCAAAAATCAGAATTGCTATGCTGAATAGTCTTGAGCTATTTCACTGTGTTTTGGTTAAAGTTGAGTGTCTAGACTTTGGGTCGCTTTGCCCCCTTGTGACCACTTCTGTCCAAATGTTACTTCCTACTTGTATGCCAAAACCTGGATTTTAGTTTGTCTTAACTGCTCTAAAGCTGGGTTATTTTGAAGCCTGTTTTGAATATGACAAAAACGATGGATCTTTTTATAGAGATGTAACAGAATATAGTGTTCAGGAGAGCTTCAGTTTCCAGCTGGTGTAGACATAGTCTTGTTACAAGGGAAGCTAAAATGTTTGGTATATTGACTTCAAAATCTGTTCAATTGTTGGATTGTTGTATGTTTGGTTGTTGGGTTTTTTTTAAATAGTTATGAGCTAGAACATTTAAAAAAAACACCACCAAAACTGAGGCAATGAAGTCAAAACAGACTCACTGTATTTCTGATCAAGCAACTTCATTTGTATTGACTCATGTGATGTAGTTGGGGCAGCAGAGATAAAATAGCTCCCAAATACAGAAATGAGAGTCTTTAAATACATTAGGAAAGCCAATGACACTCCAGTCTTCAAAAAGGGCAAGAAGGATGACCCGGGAAACTACAGGTCAGTCAGCCTCACCTCCATCCCTGGAATGATGATGGAACAGCTTGTTCTGGGTGTCAACTCAAAGCATCTGGAAGAAAAGGTTATCAGAGGTAGTCAACGTGGATTCACTAAGGGGAAGACATGCTTGACCAATCTGATGGCCTTATATGATGAAGTGACTGGATGGGTGGATGAGGGGAGGGCAGTGGATATTGTCTACCTTGACTTCGGGAAGGCTTTCGACACTGTCTCCCACATCATCCTCACAGGCAAGCTTAGGAAGTGTGGGTTAGATGAATGGACAGTGGCTGGCAGATAGAGCTCAGAGGGTTGTGGTTAGTGGTGCAGAGTCTAGTTGGAGGTCAGTAACAAGTGGTGTTCCCCAGGGGTCAGTACTGGGTCCAGTCCTGTTCAATATCTTCATCAATGACCTGGATGAAGGGATAGAGTGGACCATCAGCAAGTTTGCTGATGACCCAAAACTGGGAGGAGCGGCTGATATGCCAGAAGGCTGTGCCGCCTTACAGCATGACCTGGACAGGCTGGAGACTCAGGCAGAGAGAAACCTTATGAAATTCAACAAGGGCAAGTGTAGGGTCCTGCATCTGGGGAGGAATAACCCCATGCATCAGTACAGGTTGGGGGCTGACCTCCTGGAGAGCAGCTCTGTGGAAAGGGACCTGGGAGTCCTGGTGGACAACAGGATGACCATGAGCCAGCAATGTGC